AGGTATACTTGAAGACTTCACCTATACAGCGATATGGCACTGTGATTCTGTGAGGAAATAACTGTTTATTTAATAAAGTGTGCTGGCTAACTGGTTATGTGTCTGGAGAAAGACACACCAGTCCCCCAGCAACACCTCACAGCACATCAACAGTAATTTCTTGACAATTCAAGAGCTAAAAATATACAGAACACCATAAAACTGTTGTAAGAAAATTCATGACTGAGAGATGGGAAGATCTCAAGCAAAACAAGAACCTTGGAGGAACAGAGAAAAATGGAAGTACAGTATACAAAAATGGAATCCACGCTAAAAGACAACAAAGTCAAAGCAACAGAGATTCCAGGAATAGGTTCTGAACAGATCTCCGTGAGCCAGTGGGTGCAGCCCCTGGCAAGGAAGGACTCACACGCCAAGGCAGGCAGGACAGTAAAGAGGGCACCGTGAGAAGGGAAGGAGGCCAGGCCAAACCACCGGGCATCTGCACACATCCTCAGGTTCTGGGTAGGGTGGAAGGCAGCACCTTTCCACACCCACGAAAGAAGGGCCATGTGGTGATGAGCGGGAAGCACCCAGGCACCGGCCATTTCTCCAGCCGCACCCATGGGAGGGGACTCAGGGTGCCCGGCTCTGTGGGAATCCGGAGAGGCCTGGAGGGCTCAGAGGAGACCCACTGGTGACAAGGGCCCGACCACCACGGCCCCTCACTTGATGGGGTGTGGCCTTCCAGAGTCCGTGCAGGGCATCTGAACCTTCCTGCTTCCTCTTCCCCCTGGTGAGATGCAGCAGATGTGGCGCTGAATTTCTTTGTGGGACTAAGGGATGGGGTCTCAGGGCTGTATCACGGTCTCAGGACACACAGGGTCTCCACAAGGCCACAGCTTCCTGTCTCCCTCAGCGGGGACCCACTTCAGTGGCTTCCACGTCTTCCTTTGTCCATCTGTCCACCCACCCATCCATCCACCCAGCTGAAAGATCTGTTTTTGTTTTAGGAGCCAGGCTGAGACATACAAAGTACTCTTGGTTTATTCACTCTGGCTCTGCCTCCAAGAGAGGGCTTCCCCTGACCAAGCTCTGAGCTGTCTCCACCTCTAGACCCCAACTCAGTCCTCCACAGCCCTGGCCCGTTCCTGGGGTGATCCGGCCCCCCTGAAAATGTCTGCTGGAGAAAACTCAGACTGCTGAGAAGTTCCTTTATTTCCACCAACATCTGTCTCCAGCCTCTGAGGGAGAGGAGGAGCCTGGCTTCCATGAGCCCCAGGCAACAAGCCCAGCCAGGTTGCTCAGGGCCCAGCAGAAGCCTTTGGGCTTTTGTGATGCTTCCCTTCTCTTGGCCTGCCTGAGCCCCAGACCAGCCCTCTTCCCAGCCCCTTCGCTCTTTAAAGGGCCCACTTTTCTCCTTCCAAATCCATACACAGCTCAGCTCCTTTACCCCCTGTCAGCAGTTATGGAATAAGATCTATTTCCACTGCTTTAAGTACCAGTAGTGTTGGATGTGTTTAAACTTTGGTTGCGGGCATATATATATTTTTTTAATCTTTGAGGATTTATGTGAGAATTATTGTTGGCTAGTTCTCTTTTTCTTTCTTGAAAGAACTAATTTTATATCTAACAAAAATTCTAATGTGCTCTGATGTATGTGATTTGAATATGAATCAAAGAAGTCACTTTGTTTATAAATACTTTAGACTACAACTCTCTTCATACTAGATGTATAGGTTAAACAAATGGAAGATAAAAAACTTGTTTAAAGAAATCATTTTCCATGGTATCTCAGATTTGGAAGGGTTATTAAATCTTGAATGGAAATATCTTATTATAAATAGCCTACACCTTTATATAAAAACTAATTTAAAAATTCCTGAAGGGAAATTTCTAACATGTTTAGTATTCTATTTTCTTTCTAAAGCAGTTTCAATTTATGAAAAGTGAAACCCCAAGACAAAGGGAGTGAAGTACAGACTGGTTACACTTCCAGTTTCTAGAACTTTCCTTGTGTTCAAAGAAAGGAGTTCTGAGTGAGTTCTTTAGGCGTTCTGAGGTGGGTAAGATACTCGTTCTAGTCAGACATTGGTTCTCTTTCATTATCTCCTAAATCTAGTGCTTTGGAAAAGTATTTTTAAAACTGTGGATGACAGTTCAGTAAGGGAAATGAAATCAATTTAGTAGGCAGGAGCCAGAACGTTTTTACACATTGGAACAGAACAAGATGGAACAGAATATAGACATTAGGGTGCATCACAGTGAGCAGCGCTGGAATGGCCTCTCCAGATTCATTCAGTTAAACCGCCTGCGTGTGTGTGTGTGTGTGTGTGTGTGTGTCACACAGCTGTGCCGTGCTTCTCTTTCCTGCTGATGAGGACGAGGAGTCTGAGGAACAGCCCCCAGCAGAGCCCTTCTGAACTCCTGGCAGTGGGCCACTCACTAAACAAGAGTGCTCGCTTTCTTGGGGGACAGACAAGCAGGGAGGCCCCACCTACAGCCAAGAATAGGTAACCTGCGCACACAGGTGCAGGTGCAGGGGGACCCATGTGCAAAGCACTCGCCTCTAGCAATGCTTCCTGGGGTGCTAGGCCCGGAGGGGGTTTGCAGGAACAATGAATGGGTCAGCATGGGCGGAGCCAAAAGAGCAGCAAGAGAGCTAAGGCCCTTGGGATATTGCCCCTCCTGCACCCCTACCCACTTCCTTCTGCAAAAGGCCTGATCAATCTACCGAACGAAAGGGTCACCACTCACTGCGCCCCAGGTGCGCGAGTTCAAGTTCGGAGTGGACTCAGTGACTGTGCTAAGCTGTTCGGCGTCATGGGGAAGTTCTGAAACCCCATGGCTTTCCCTCGTCAGTTCCAGGAATGCTGTGTTCTCGTAGCTTGGCTCAGGGACACCAGGACACTCAGTCTTCACTCAGAGCAGTGTGTGAGCCTTGAGGCTTGGTATTACTAATGTGAATGTACCTGAAGGCAAGAGGCCCCCGGGCACCAGTCCGGTGGGACTCTTGATAAGGACCGTCGGTCAGCTCTGCCACCCAGCAGGGCTCACAGCGTCAGAAAGGACTCAGTGAACCAAGTCGAGAGACAGTGCTCCCGCTATCAGAATCCATGTCTGCTGCAGACAGGAAATGCAGAAGAAATATTACGGCACTCTTAAAGGGATCCAGCTATGAGGACCCATCGTTAAAATCAGAAGCAAATGTGGAAGAAAGAACAGGAGTGGTTTTCACTGCTTTCCGAGGCTGGCGCTGGCCTCCATCATTTTAATCCTAATAAGGGTGAATGAGGTGCACACTGCAGCTCTTAGGACTGAGGCACTGTACACAGTGGCAGTGTGTGTCCTTCACGAGGGTTCCCAAACCACAGTACGCGTCCTGGTTTGGGTCCGAAAGCCTGGGAACACTTCATGAGGTATCATCTTAATCACGTGAGTTTTAGATGGAATAATATTCAGAAGCCATCTCCATTTGATGAAAGCCGATCACAGGCAGGCCAAAGACGGGGCCTAGGCAGCTGTCTTCCTCACGACTGTGGCTTTCTCGGGCTGGGGCCAAACCATTCTACTAACTGCTGATCAGACTGGCATGGGCTCAGGGGCAGGAGAAAAACTGGATAGTCACTGGACGATGACCCTACACAGAGCCGGGGTCAGTCCTTAAGGCAGGGCTACAGACAGGAGCGCTCAGGCTAGGAGAGGCTCTGTCCCGCGTACTCTCACTGCTGGGAGGGGCATCAGGAGTCAGGATGAGGAAGCGTCTGGAACAAGCCAAGCTTCAATCAGTTAAAGGAATACATTCTTAAGAGAGACTGTGAAAGCAGGGAGACAGATGCCAGGGCAGGCGCGGCTGTAAGGCCCCGGGGTGAGTAAGTGAAAATATACACAGGACACTAGGGGACAAGGAGGTAGAACCCTTCTGTCTTTCTTTACTCATCAAATCAGTCCCTAATTTTCCTGAGTCTCAGTTGCTCTATTTTCCAAAATAATAAGCTTAGGGAGCAACCTAAACAGTCGTGACTTCTTATTAGAGATCATTTTTACTATTCTCCTAACTGTCTGAAAGTAGTCTATACTTTCACACATGAACACAAAGTTGCCAGGGTGGAAGTACATGGCAGGTGGCTTCGTGTTTCCATGTGACTTTAACCACACCGAAGCCACAAAGGCTAAGTCCTCTCTACGTAACTGCTTTGGGGACCTCGACAACGACTTATGTTTGTGGCAGGAAAAGGACTCCTGGCATTCACTAGGCACTCACCTGGGATCTGGAGTGTTTTCCTGGACTGTCCTCCTACCTGGATTAACAGAGATGCCCACGCGTGTTTAGAAGAGGGCAGAGTGCACAAGCTCCTCTCTTGGTACAAAGAGGCACCCAGGTCAGCTCCAATGCACTAAGTCCTTCAACTTTCTGAAGGGTCCTAAGTGACTCTGCCCCTTGACTTGCAGTCTTGCTGCTTCTCTATATAAGGGCTTTTCTCTAAAACCACTCTAAGGCAGGCAGTCAGCTCTGCAACAACTGTACGTGTGCAACAAGCTGAGCAGTAGCACCCCGAACATCTTCGGGTGGCTTTAATAATCCTGGCAGATATGACGGTGTATTGCTAATGCACGGGCAGACTAGACCTGCAAGGTGAGCTGTAAGTCTTTCTCACCCACAAATCTCAATGCCTTTCTAGATTAATCGGGAAAATGAGAAATCCGAACGTCCTTGTGAGTTTGCTTGAAGCCCTGTCAGTCGATGGCAGTGCTATTTCAAGTCCAGCAAATTGCATTTCTGTATCACATTAGGTTACAAAGGAACAAACCAACAGACCAAACACACAATGGAAACATGCAGTGGGGGCGTGCTGAATGCATGGGTCGATGTGCACACAGAAGAGCTGAGCATACCAACTGCGTACGAGCACAGGTCTGAACCCGGGGTCTTAAGCAGAGGAGGAAATGTAGTGGGAAACAAAGCTGAGGAAGATGAGCAGGAAATGGGCAAGATGACTGTCTATACTTGAACGTCTGACCTGTTAGTTGGCCGTCGCCTGCAGCAGGGGCGATGCGAATGTAAGGTGTTGTAAGCTGAGTCAGGATTATCGCAGCTAAGGCAAAGGAGGATTTCCAGGTCAGCATGCATGAGGGAGAAAAAAGCCAGACTGAAGCTAGGCTAGCAAGAAGAACCCATCAGCATATCAAATCGTCTCAACTGTTCCAACAACAACACAAAGAAAAGGAAACAAAGAAAGAAAGGGAAAACAACATAGCAAGGCGTTGAATTTTCTTCTCTCTTAAATGACTGCTAGTCAGTCTGTAGGACTTCTACATCTGACACAGTTGCAAGCTTCCGCTGAGACCCTGGATAGATCAACTGAAAGAAAAAAGTAAAACAAAACCAAAAAATGTAAGCCCTAAATTCTGCTGAAGACTTGGAGCTATTTCTAACTGCAACTGAAGGTGGCAAGAGAAGTTCACCGCCAACTGTGATGATCCAAGCTTCAGGCTTTGCAAGTACATCCAGTTACGTAGAGTGATGTTACTTAGGGCACATGTTTTCTCTTCTCGCTCCAATTACCTTCATGAGGAATACTATCATCCTTCACTACAATTTTTAATTAGAATGATTTTTCTAATAACTAGATTTCATTAAGACTTCCATTTAAAGACCTGAGGTATTCCACATTGCTGGAATAAAAACATGTATCTCAGGTTACTGGTTAAAACACAATTGAAACTTCTCATTGCCTTTGCTGTCACTGTCACGGTTAACTTGTGACCAAAGAAAGAGGCAAGATTCTTGAAAAGGGCCACTAGTGCATCTTGCTTTGTTTGTAGTAAGCAGTTAACATTCATGACACACAGATATTGAAAAAAAAAAAGAAAATTAAAACATCAGTTCTAACATGATACAGCTGGAAAATGATGCAAAGGAAAATATTGAAAAATTAAGAACAGGCTTACACGAAAGATAACTAATTTACAAGGAACAGCCTGGGTGCTATTAGAAATGTGGCAGCGAGGAAGGAAAATAGATCATCTACCATCTGCAGACAATTAAACCCAAAACTGCTGTGGCATAATATTTGGAAATATCCCTCGGCACCAGTGCTGCTCCTTAGGACCAGACAACTGCAGCAACTGAGTTTAAAAAATGGCGTCGGAGCCTTCCGCATGTTATTACTGAATGCGCTCCAGTTCTGCGAGGCGAGACAAACTGGTCAGAGAACAGAGTCGGCAGACCCGAGACACTCAGCAATTCTGGATACAGTAAGTGGAACATAGTAAATGTCATTTCTACGACTTGTTACAAAGTTAGTGTGAATTCCAAGTCTGATACATGTTAACCTTTGGCTGGTCACAGAATACCGCATTCGGCCAATACTCCTGTGTCGTTTTTCCATCACTCATGGGAAAATTGGACCCCATCTACTTTTGAGAAAAATACCCCCTTATTAAAAAATAGGGTACTTTCTGCTATCCAAAGAGGTAAAAGTTAGGAACAAAAGCTACTTGAAAACAGCTCTGGTGAGCAGCAGGCATCTGCAGATAAACAGGGACTTAAAAAGGACAACTGCATTTGAGCCTCATGCGTAAAAGGTACTTACACCAGAAAAGACCTCTGTAATGGTCTCTGGGCTCCAGTCTGTTTATTCGCACCTAATTAGGTTTAGTGCAAGGATGATACTTGCGTTAGACATCACTTTAAAATGGGCAGGGTAGACCTCAGTAGTTGTGACAGAAACTGTGGTCTACCACGCCTGAAATATTGTTTGTTTGTGTTCATTTTATTTACAGTGTTGGGAGATTGAGCTCTGGAATTCACAGGCCAGGTAGGAGCTCAACCACTGGGCTGCATTCCCAGCCCAAAATAATTATTATCTGGTCCCTGACATACAAGCTTGCTGACTCCTGCCTTAAAGTATCAGCAACGATGACCTAGAGAAGAGAACATTATGAAATTTGGCAGATTCAGGTCAGAATTCCCAAGCTGTACTTCAGAGACTGCATTGGGGCCTGGATCTGGGGCCTCAGGGACACAGCACGTCGCTGGCAAAGGAGAAGGGAGGAGCTGCCGGCCTGGGTTCCTTGCTGGGCCCTCTCAGTCCAAGTCAGGATCTTCTAGAATCTGTTGGGTCTGCTTTTACCAACAGTGTTTCACACAGCCCTGGTATTCCCTGAAAGATGGTTTAGGTCACATAAAGTTTGATAAACATAGGCTTTTAGGCTTCTTATTTTTAGGAACCATTTCAGAGGCCTTCATATACTCCTGATGTACATGATGATTATTAATTATTGAGAAGAAAATATTTTCTCTACAAAATGCTGAGTAACATATGCATATGTTCCTGTTTCTAAATCCATAGCGTGGGGCTGGGGATTTAGCTCAGTGGTTCCACTGCCTGCCTTCAAGGTTCCGAGTTTGATCCCTAGTACCAAAGAAAATAAAAATTAAAAATAAAAAAATAAATCCATAGCCTGAATAATAGCAGAGTGATCTTACTATGTAATTTCTTTTCCCCTGAACTCAATATGCATAGTTAAAAGGAATCTTAATTAGTTTTACATCTCAACATTCTTTTCCATTCTTTTAGAAACATTTTCATGGTAGCCAAGAAAGGACAGTATTTCTTTGAACAAAAGAGTGAAAAGAAAAACAGGCTGGAGAAACTTGGCCAAGAGCCTAGTGATTAAAAAAGAAACATTCAAGTTTCTGAATATAGTTAGAAATTGTATCAGAACAACAGAAACCCTTCAGCGCTTCCCCAAGGCCTTCCAACAGTCGCATCCAGTACAGACTGGAGTTAAATAAAACACACAGAAAACTCCCTGTAAAAATAGAACATTGGAATATGCTTTCTTTTCTTCTCATTTTACGGTTTAGAGTCTGGCGTCTCTGATAGTTTTGGGGAGAGTTAAACTAGTGTTTGCAGGGAGATACTTTTCGCTATAAAGCTGTGAGCCAAACTGTAGCAAGGAAAAGAACAAATTGACAGCTATAACCCTACCATCAAAATTCAACAGATAAAAATCCCCAAACTTTTAGGAACCCAAGATCTTCAAAAGACAGAACATCTATGCCTTGTACTTGGAAGGCGTTGCAATAATTCTGAAAACAAGTAGAGGACAGGAAACCTTCCAATGGTAATTGGAAGAGACATAAGTGACACATTAAGGAAAATAGCACCTCATAAAAGATTAATGTATTTTTAAACTGTCAAATTGATTAGAATGGATTTTGAAACAAATTACTAATAAGACAGTTTACTAATAAGACATACTCTGATTTTTAAGTTTATCTTGACAACTTCGTATTGGTCATCCACAAATTAATGTAAGAGTGTCTAACCTTGCCAGTTACTACAAGGCATCCATGCTCTATAAAAAGTTAAAGAAAACACACTCACTAATTACGAACACACAGCTCGACCAAATGGTCATGAAAAGAACCCATATATAAAAATGTGGATATGACTGTAAAACACTAAAAACTTTGAGAACTTAAAAATTATTACAAGTTCTTCTATTCCCTCCCCGCTAGGATGAAAGGAAGTCTCTGAATTGAGAGGGGACCTTTGAACATCATGCAGATAAATAATAACATAACTTAGGTTATTTTCCTGTGCTTAATTGTTATGAAGCTCTATGTTTGAGATGAAGAGCGTCAAAATATCTCTTTGGAATATGATTAAGATAATCACAACATTAAATGTATAAGTAGTATGAACTATAGTTTTAAGAGACATATCCACACTTGAAATGACAAACTACCTCTCTGTGCAAACACATACCCCTCCAAATCTTCCCTAAGAGAGAGTTGTCAATAGTTGTTGTGTGAGAACTCGGAAATCTCTGTACCCTGAGAACGCTGCTCAGGAAAGCGGATTGGTATCTGAGAACTTGATTAAGCCACCGTACTATCAGAAATAGGTGGCAAAGCACACTTGGGATGTTTGAACTTTTACCTTTCCAGCTTTATTATTACACAGTACTAACGAAGTCATTAAACCTGCCTATTTCTCTACTTTAACTAAGTAGTCAAGATGGAATGGCTTCCTGTGCTGAAAAAAGCATTTTTAAGATCCAGAAGGGAAAATTTTTCTCATTATAAGGGTGATGAACATTATGTTGTGCTGTAAGGGGAGATGCTGAATCTGTCCACGCAGAATTTCATAAAATCACACAACACTGTGTCACTTTGCCTGGAGGGAGAGTGTCTCCCAAGGTTTCTTACTGTACTATGACTTTATGAAACAGAAATGACAATGTTAGGCGGTGAATATTAAAATGCGTTTTCCTCTTTTCCCAAAAGGGGCTATTTGAACAGAGCTTGCTGCTGTGTAAACGTTGGTAAATGACTCAGAAAAGATGAGCAGGGACTATCTAGTCAATTGGGTCATCTGATTGCCTAATCATCCTTTGGTGGATTGAAAAACAAATTACAGTATTGATGAAATTTAGCTGATGGGAGAAAAGGGTCCAAATCACCATCTAATTCAATCTGTTGTGAAAACAGCACACTTGTCAGATTTACATACTTACTAGTGAGTTATTTATATAATTATTTAACTACATAAATGAGCACAATGACAGATCTCTCATTGTCTGTACAATGAACTGGGCGGCGACTCAGTCCTCACAGGGGAGTTCAGATGCTTATATGACACCACACCATTGCTGGCCAGAGTCTCTGCTGCCGGACACAGGCAGGCAAACCCTGGGGGAGGAGTGCAAATGTGAATGCATGAATGAGAGCGATTTTCAAACTTTCAGCTGCGATGTTAAACGTAAGGCATTATAAACTAGGCACCGTGGGACGAGATTCACCTCTCAGACCACAAGGGAGGAGGGGTGCAATGAGGTGGTCCTTTGGGAGCCCTGTTCTGGACCACAGCCGTGAGCTGGAGAGTGAAGAACCAGGATGGAACCTGGCCTGGGGCTAGTGGTGCTGTGATCATTAGTCGCTGCCAGCACCTGGCTGTTTATGAATCACCCTGACAGCTATCATTTCATTTACTACTAATTTATTGCCATAAATAAAGGCCCTTCATCAGGTTCAATAAGATATCATGAGTATCTTAAAATCTGTATCGATAGATTATCAGGAAAAGAACTGTGAGCCCCTGAGAACAGAGAGGAATGCAGTGATCACCTTACCCGTGCCTACCCCATACTGTGCAGCCAAGTACTCGCTAAGCTCCAACTAAGTTTAAAAAGTCACGCACCTTCATGCAGTAAGAACGCAACGAGGATTTTGAAAATGTTTGTGGACACCCTTGGCACGGTCATACTGTCGCCTGAAAGTCAAACGACGATGACAATAGTTCTCACCCACAAGACTCATCCAGCCTGATCTCCTCCCTCTCAGCTGAAGCACACAGGGGCACCCACTGCCCTCCTGGCTTCTCAGGTCTACACAAGGTGTGTACCTGCAAGTGTTAATCTATAATGCCTCCTCCTCTCAAGACAGCACCGTCTCCCCTAGGTGCGTGTGTGACGGGCATAGTAGCACTGAGGCTGACTCGGGGGTGCTGCATGGGGACAGCGGGGGCTGTCACCCTGGCTGCCTGCACAGCTCTGCCTCAGTGGCATTTGTCCAGGCAAGAGAAACAAGCTGCATAATGAGGTCACCAGCCGGGGGCCAGCGGAGCCTCACAGCTGACACCCCAGGGATGCTCTCCCTAGATCTCTGCAAGGACGGAGTCAGGTGCAGTGGTGTGGACCCAGGGTCCCAGTCACTGGGGAGGCTGAGGTGGGAGGATCTCTTGGGCCTGGGAGTTTGGGCCAGCCTGGGCAACAGAATGTGATCTTGTCTCAAATAAAAAAGGATGGGTGTACTATTTTAACTATTCCTTTTATATGAAGAATCACTAAATATAGTTTTATCAGGCATGAACACTATGGTTTAAAACATGTATACTGGCATCGTATAAAAATTAGTATTTAAAAAAGTAAAAAGCCATTGAAAACGACTTCAAACACAACAGCAGTAAGGCTTACTTTTACAATTATCTACATGAAATAGTCAAGGCTGACTGCCGTATACATACCTGCACACGTATCCCGTATGACATACGTCTACACGCTCATGTCAATGGAGATACACTGCAAGCCATTTTGAAACAGGCTAAAGCAACTTTTAAAAGACACAGACCAGGAAATCAATGCAGAGTTTCAACCTACCTTTTGTGGCCACTCGAACACAGTCGATTTTGGTTTCCTGTATGAAATAAAGAGGGGAGGAGTTATTCCACATGTTTTATTAAGCACAACAGAAAAATCTGCAGTTCTGGTTAAGCAACTTGATAAGGAAGGCCTCACTGTTGCAAATGAGGCTTTATCACCCGTGCTGGTTCTGGGATACGTGCTCCGGCACATTTCCTGTCCCCTTCACTGTGGCACCGGTATCCTAAGCCAACAAGGGGCGAAGAGCTGGACCCGTGGTCCTTGCCCCTGCCTGGAGGACCCGGGACTCCTCCCCTACACCGTGCTGGATCCTCAGGAAGAACCCGCACCCTAGTCGGCCCCTCCACTCCCGGGCTAGAGTTGAGTGGACACCTGGGCCTGTGCTAGGGAGGAAGGAGACTGTGGGAGACCCTAAAAAATGTTTTCTCTCCCTAAGGAGAGCTCCGGGTTGGTGTGGACAGGACAAGGACAACACCGCAGAAATGACTGAGAATCCTGCTTTGTTTCCAGCTCATCTTCCTAAAGTTGTTTTCTCTTAGAAAAGAAAAAAGATCCCTAATTCATTTGCAGCTCTAGGAGGCACAAGCACTTTGGAGTTAAAGAAATGGTAGAGAATATGCCTAAAAGACAGATGTTGTAGATCTCACAAAATTTTAAATGAGCCGAATCTGTGTGTCATAGCTGTGCTGTTTTCCCGTAAGATTAGTAAGCTAAGCAGAACCACTAGCCAACTTTTGGTAATAAGAAAATCTGAAAATAAAAACCATCATGTTGAGGATTTATTTTTCCAACTCCTCCAAAACATGATGAATATTCTCATTTCTTGCCATGAATTTCTCTACACGAAAATAGTTTTACAAGGAGAAAAACTCATTTGCTCATTAGTAAAACACACAAAGGCCTGGCCGCATCGGCGCCCTACCGTCTTACCTAAGCCGCATTCGCGGTAACAACCTGAAAGGCCCGAAGTCCACGGTCACTGGTAAAACCTACCCCGTTGGCTCTGCTAGCTGCTTGGAAGTAGATTCTGTAGCTCTTGTGCGGGAGCAGCGGGGTGTTCCAGTACCCACTGTAGGTCTTGTTGTCCCCGATGGTGAAAGGCTGCGCAGCCTGGATGCTGTCTGCAGGGAACTCCGCGGCGAAGTAGTACTGCGAGTTCAGGAGGGAGGCGTTCTGGAAGTGGATCGGTACCGGGTAGCACTTTAAGATTTCCGTTGTCTTTTTGGTTCTTCGAGGACGTTCTTCCTCCACGACTATTTGGTAGACACTGAAAAAAGAGAGAGGATCGTCGCTGATATTTACAGACAAAAGAGAGGCTCCACTCTTCCTGAAACGGAGCAGCCTGGACAGGGTCCTGCGTGCGGAAGGTGCTGCTGTGACACAGTGTCGCAGAATGCCAGCTCCTGGGAAGCCGCGGCGCCCGCTCTCATCCTCACAGCTCGCCCGCCCAGAGGAGCACAATTTTCTGAGAGGAACAAAATTCACTGTACTCAAAGAATTATAGGACAACTGTTACTGTTTATAAGCTGGATACCAAAGAACGTCCTTTACCCACAAAACTGCAATGATCCTGCAGAGAACTGAACTCTGCTTACCTGGTAACAAAAGGCAGTGTATTATTGCATAAAGAGAAGGGAGACAAACTCTTCCTTCCTAACCCCAGGCACTTCCTGTCAGGAGTCATCACACAAGGTCCTCCATGCAGGTGGGGAGCCAGCTCCCTGCGGAACAGATGGAATTTTAAAGAGTCGCCCAAAGTGAGGACAGAGGAACACACAGCAGGTAGGGCACACGCGGGACTCCTCCGTCTCCCTGACGTCAGATGGCGTGATTTCAAACATGAATCTGTGAAGCACTAGATGCTTCCCCACAGAGATGCTGGCTGGGCTGTGTGGAGTGACTCTTGGGCCACCAACAGAGACGGCGGGAGGGACGCCTTAAGTGCTGCTGGAGCGGCCCACCACCGAGGACGTGTCCAGCCACCCACCGAGGACGTGTCCAGCCACCTTGAACCTGCCTCACCGGGAGCACACAGGTGGGTGCCTTGCCTGGCGTGAAGGTCCTGTGTGTGAGCCACTGCAGAAAGTTCCAGGGCTGAGCCTCCCGGGCCCCAAGCGGACGCTGTGGCTGGCCCGCTGCTATCTTTATGAGGAACCGCTGATAATCCTCACTGTGCCTAATTTATAAGTGAAGCTTTATCCTGGGGCCCTGTGCTGAAGACACAGGGTCCATGCAGGGTCCCTGTTATCCGCGGCCTCAGGCGTAGGCGTCTCGGGAAGGGGCGGGGCTGCAGGGGTCCGCAGGGCAGAAGCATGGCCAAGGCCAATGTAAGCAGCTAACGCCACCGCCTCAGCCCAGCCACAGAGGTCAGCCCAGCAGGCCCTGAACCCTGGGCTCCATCAGAAAGGACACCGCAGGGAGCGTGGCTACACTCTTGGAATCGGTTTCATGATGGTCAAGTGGCGTGGGCCATGAGGTGCACAGTTCTGAAGGCAAAAGACGATCCAGAAGTCATTTCTAGTTTCTCTGGAGGGAGATCACATGTTACATGTTTAAGGACAAAACTCACTGAATTCACAAATGTGCTCTGCCATACTAAGTCTGATCTCAAGTTTATTTTGTGTTCATTTTTTGAATATTTAAAAGCTAAGGAGGGGGGAAATTATTACCAGGGAGCAGGTTTTATGGTATGAGAGTCAGTATTAAGTTTATCCAGGACAGCTTGCATTGCAGTGATGAAATTTGAGGGAAGCAAGTTTGTGTTTCTGTCGCCTCTGCCACCCTGTCCTGTTCTATTTTCTCCAGCTTTGCTAGGACGTGTGACGTATGTGTTCACTCATTTATTAGCTCAAACAATGATTTTTATTTTGCAAAGCTGGAGATTAAACCAGGGCCTCACACATTCTAGGCAAGCATTCTACGACTGAGCTCTATCCCCATGTTCTTGAGACAGGGTCTGACTGAGTTTTCCAGGCTGGCCTTGAACTGGGGACCCTCCTGCCTCAGGCTAAGCTGCTGGCTCAACAAATGCTAAGTACCTATACAGTACTGCTCTACTTTAACTCAAACAATAAATGAGCTGTTCCCTAATGAAACAAAATTTTGTTTTGTAATTTAAATGCTATCTAAATGAGTGTGGATGGAAAAATATTTTTTTGTCCAAGCAGCAATTTAATGAGGACTGGGTAAAAATCTGAGAATTAAATGATCTTTTAATGGGCCTCCCTTGCAGCCTGCTGGCCTCAGTTGCATTATACACTCGACTCCAGACATATTACTTTTTAAATGGCTACCATCTACTCATCTTCAGATATATTAAAGACAGGACGAAGTTGACTGGAGCAGTTTCAAACCCCAAATGTCTTTTCATCCTTGCTCCACAAGACAAATTAGATGTGCGAGCATCCAGACCTCAAGTCTATTTGTTCTTTAATAATTTAAGCACTAAAAGGTCAAGAAGCTCTTTTCTATCCCCCTGTATCAAAGTCCAAGTGCTAATGAAAAATGGCTGAATCCTCTTGTCTGCTGCTGTTGCCTGGCGGAACCCAGCACGTTCCTAATGCCCAGGACGGCAGAGGGCGGCTGGGGCGTTTCTCGCCTATGCAAATGACGTCATTCCACTGACGAATCTCATAAAATCATCCCGTTGCCCACAATCAAGAGCTCCAAGCTTGCTTTAAAAATCTCATGGAATGGTTTTTCTCAGAAGATTAAAGAAAGCAAATTCTCAGGGATTGGAAGCCAGTCAGAAAGTTCTAGCTCAGTGAGCTGAATTACAATTCTATTATCTTTCTAATGTATTACTCAGGCTCCTTTGTTTATTAAAACTGCACCACTCCTAGGCCTATCCCCCACTGTCCTGGAAGATAAAGCGACACAGAAATCTTCCTCCGGCAATATCACAGCGCAGCTCAGAGCTGAGTCTGCCCAAAGTATGACATCACTGTATCAGAACTTCCAGAGAGAATGAAATTTAAAGTTTAATTTATGCTAGGCTTTTCTACTACAAAATTCTCAGGTCTTTACAAGGAGAATAAGAAATCTGCATTTATATAGACCAGCACATGAAGTATAACCTAGAAAGCAACATCTGAAAATCTTTCACGTACTTTTTTAAACTTGAAAGTTCAAATGTGATGAAACGTTTTCTGTTTTTTTTTTTCCAACTTTGAGGTCTCCCCAGAAGAAGCCTGCGGATCTGATACCGACTTAAATTTTTTGGTCCTAATTCATTTCAAGATTAAACCCTTCATCAAGTCCATTTTTCTTATCCATTTATTTTATTTCTTATCAGCATAAAAATAGCAGAGGGCTGCCCAACTGGTGAGCAGAATGAGGACAGAGGCAGGGAGGACAGGAGAGGGGTCAGCAGGGTCCCTTTGTTGAGCCTTTGCCAATCCTTTAAAACAGGCATTTCTGGTCACTTCAGGGGCTCACAATACCTTTCATGGCTCCTATTAGTGATGTTTGCCTTGATTTGAAACTCCTGGTATGATTTTTAATTCTCTATGTACAGAAAGGAGAGGTCAGTACTGGTATCTTTCTGATGACTAACTTAGGCAGGGGACCAGACACTGGACTGTTTACTGCCAGGAAACCGCTCAGAACTGATGTTCCTCCTGCTCCAGATACTGCTCTCTCTTAATCAGTCCGCGTATATTGACATAATGCCCAAATATTCCAAAGAATCTGTTAAGACTGCGCTGAGGTTTAAAGAGTAAGCCAGCAGTTTAAAATCAGGACGCAAACGGCACTCAGCACGTCTCCGTCATGGCTGGGAGGCCCAGGAGGCCCCAGGGAAGCCCCGGTGCTGAGGACAGTGGATCCCACTTGGTCCTCCGCTGTGAATTACAGACCATCGCTGGTGAGGAGTGTCACACAGATGCAGCACAGTGTCACACACACCATCCAGCATGCCCAGACCCACAGGGCTGAATGTTCCATGCTTAGCAGCTTTGATTTCTCTCTGTCCTGCTGCGACTCCAAGGCTGGCCCTGAGCTGCTGTGGATACCTGCAAGACAGCACGAGCAGCCATGACTCACGACGAGGCGCTTTGCTGGCTTCAGAAAGTTACTAATGCTCTGTGTGACTGCGTGTGTGTCTGTGTGTGCGCGCGCACGCACACACTAGCATGCAGTTCAGTACCCTGCTGCTCTGCTAGTGAGTGATAAAATCTGCTATAATAAAATATTAATTACAACAGAAAGGTTGGGTGGGAAATCTGAACTCAATTACAATCCCATATTGCGAACAGAGGGCAGGGTGAAAAGCCCTTTTGTTACGGAGGTTTGGGATAATAAAAAAACAAGCAGCACATCAGACTCAGCTGTGCGCTCTGGGAAAGGCCACCTGTCATTAATCTTCGCGGCGGGCACAAGTTTTGAGTGAATTCGGCCTGGGTGGAATATTTTTCAGAGTGACAAAGATGTCTTGCCCTGCATTCCCTACTTTGCCCAAGTTTATCACAACTTCATCCTCACAACGTCAGAACAAACACGTGAGTATCAAATGCTAATCCAAGGGCAGTTACCATGGTGAAAACAACCCTCATCATCTGAAAAAAAAACAGGAATAGAATATCAAAGTTACACCAGGTCAAGGCTGACAGCAGCCTTCATGTGAAAATCTTTGCAAAAAGTTGGGAATTCAGAGTATTTTTGATTCTCAGACCGGGGACGTGTAACCATTGAAGTCCACACACATATCTCCAACTCCGACAAGACTCAAAATCTGCAGTAATTCTGGCAGGCCCCACGGGGAGGCAGCCTCTGGCTTGGTTCCTGGACGTCTGCTTTATATCCACTCGCAATCTTTCAAGCCCAAACACTTCTCTGCTGCAGCCAGTGAGATGGACACAAGTGACACCCACAGGGCAGGGACGAGACGTGGACTGGGGCCACCATCCAGAGCCAGAGAGGGGCCGTGCCAGCTCTGATGCTGCAGGTCTCCTGGCCCAAGATGGAGCGGGCTGTGACACCGCTAAATGCCAAGGGCTTCACTTTGCTCACGTTTCCGCTCTCCCTGCTGTCAGTCCTTGTCAAGGCCTAGCCTTATGCCAGGCACAGGGGAGAATAAGAAGAGGAATTAGGAACAGTCTGTCTAGGTCCTTGAGATGCCCAGTCCACAGCTGCTTATACACAGGTCACCACAGAGTAGAGGGACCCGAGGAGAGTTCCTGTGAAGTAGTTACAGGTGTGTGAGAATCTTTATACCAAAGGCTTGCAGCACCTAACATGGGGAGGGCCTCTGGCTGTACCAGTCTCCAG